GTCAGCCTTCCTGCTCCTATGATGCTGCTTGGCCTGCTGTGTTCATCCAGCTCTGCACCTTGTTGTCTCGGATTCGCCAGCATCTGCAGTTCCTACCATGTCTTTAACCACTCCTATGTCTGTTCAACTATTTTTCTATCTTTGGGCTCTATCTCCACCTATCGTTTACACTTCCCCCTTCCCCCCCCCCCTTCCACCTTCAGTATAAAAACCATCCTTTGCCTAACTACCATCAGTTCTGAAGAAGGGTCACTGGACACAAAACATTAACTCCAATTTCTTTCCACAGATGCTGCCAGTCCTACTGAGATTTTCCAGCAACTTCTATTTTTTATTGAAGAGAAGATTTTGTAGTTCAGAGTGTCTGCTGTTGAATATCAGCTGAACACATTTGCCCAAAATTCTTCTGCTAGTCATTTTAATAGAACTGTTTTCTCTTTTAAAATAGTTGACAGAAGGGTGAGACAGTTAAGTACTTGGAGTGTGTGCACCATCATGACCAAAAGTAATATCTATCTTTTACACAGAATTCCCTTGTAACATCAATGGAACAGAACCAGGAAGCGATTGAACACACACACACAGTCAGTTAACACTCGTTTAGATTTTACAAATATATGCAACTTCACAGTCTTGGATCTACTCAAGTGCTACTGATAAATGTTTCAGAATTATTAGGCAAACGCTTAATCAAGGAAACGTAAAACACCAGTTTAATACTAACAATTGTGTAAATAAATTCCTCCATAGGTTCAGTGCTTCTACCCCTTTAGGAACAGGACAGATAGCCATTCATTTCCTGAAAGTTCAATCAGCTGTAATTCAAATTCAATATTGCTACATTAGAATTTAAGATACCACTATGGATGGAAAATCCACAGAAAATGTCTGCACCAAGGCTTCCTCCAATCAGCATTTGTGATGAAACTAATGATCAAGAATCTTTACAACACTAAATCAACCTTCACTGCATTTGGGATTAGCTGCCAGTTCAAAAACTTAGTGTCTATTAACTTTAGAGTGGCTTTATTTTGGTGTACAGATATGAGCTTTTGCACACAATATAACCTGTGAAAATGCAAACTTTCCAAAGAAGAAGCATCTTTTTCTTATTTCATTACCATTGGTCCATGCATACTAAATTTGAAGATTTCCATCTGTACATAGAAGTGTTAATCGCATGGAATGACAATTTCAGTTGATAATTCTTGATACATAATATCAGATATGTTGTACAGCTACTGTATAGATGTGCATTAAAAGAGGAGTTGAGTGCTGAAGATGGTTTTAGTTTAGGCTCCACAACACAGCAATTACTTAGTCAACTGGTGGTGCTTTCGTTTCTAATCTAGAGGTTATGCATGGTGTTACTGCTCAAAAAAAAGCCAAAGTATTGTTGTCATAACTACATTATCATCTCCATGACTGACAGCTAGTTCTTGCTGATCAAATGTAAACACAGTCTAAGTAATGTTAAAACTTTAACTCTGAAAAACCTCAATGGGTTTTAAGAACTGTCTTTCCTCACCACCTCAATCTTATGCAATTTTTAATTTCTGCTTTTAAAATGTAAGTTACAGTAATAGATTAGCTATTTGCTAAAGCATACTTTAACTAAACAAAAAACTGTTTTAATAAACTAATAGTTATTAAACACTTGCATGAATGTTTTTCTTCAAGTGAGTTAGCTGATAAGTTGACAACTACTTGTGAACGAGACATGGTCAATACATTAGAACACAATATAATCTGTATCACAGATTTCCAATGTGGATAAAAATGTCAATATTTAATAAACAATATATTTATATTGAGGGTTACATAAAGCCACATACATCAGTAAACAAAGGCAAATGTTTACAAAAGCACATTTTTCATTTAAAGTAAACACTTTAGTTTCACAATTAATTCAACATAAACAAACACTGGAACCATACATAGCTTAACAATTCATTGAACAATTGATTAAGTTTCTTTTTGGAAATCAACACTCCAAAAACTTTAATGCCATCGGTGTAGTTTTGCATTAACTGGTATTACTAGCTTTTCAATTTACTACATTTTTACTATGTTTTCAGTTTGGGCTAACAAAATATAGAGAACACAGACAGTCCTAACTGAGTGTAATGTGTTAGTATTGCAAGCCATTTTTTAAAACTTCATTCAACGTGCTTCTTACAAGTGTAGAACTGCTACAACTTTAAACATTACACACTTCAATGGATACGTAAATCACAAGGCAAAAAAAATTGTCCTACCTTTCAAGAGAACGCAATAATCCTTTTAAATAAGCATGCAATAAATTACAATAGCACTTCTGCAAAGTTACATTGTTCTTAATTACAAGCACCGCTATTTTAAGGCTCGTTTCATTGGATTGCTTGCACTTACTACACAACCACACTAATATACAGCTAAATGCAATTTAAATGAGTAATTCGAAGTAAATGGCTATTATTTATTTTAATTAAAAAGTTACAGATGGCAGATTACAATCACTTGTTTTCTTCTACGGTTCCCCTAAAGCAGCGTGGTGTAACATGGCACCAGGAGAGCCTCAGTTCAATGCAACTTAAAGACTTGGCTGCACACACGCTCAAACGAGTATTGTTTGCCAACAAATAAAAACATATTCATAAAATCCAGAAACATACGTTTGAAACCAAGGAAAACCCCGAATCCAAGAAATTTAAGACATCGGAGAGCTCTGTATTGGCGTAAATAAGTCTAGGTCTACTAATGCCAAATAAGCGAAATGATGTAAAACAAAATGAGTTGCTTGTGTATTTTGTTTTATTACTCGTCGCATTACCAACATGACTTTTCCAGTTCACTGAACAGCATCTTGTACATAGAGCGATACAGTAAAGACCAGTAACAGCTAGTTGTGTCCTAACTCCAGCATAATGATAAAAAAAGAGATTTATTTGAACTATTACACTTCACAAACTTTCTTTCCACAACAGTAGCCTTACTATTATTACTGAAGTCCTTGATCTGTAGATTCCATGCACAACGCAACGATATATGAACTTCCAGAACTGCACCTAGTCTGTCTTTTTTAGCATCCGATGAAATTACGATGTAAAATAAAGCATGTACTGCTTAACGCCTTTTCTCCTCAAATCTTTTGTGAAACTCTATTTTCCTTGACCACCCCCCACCCCCTCCACGTTCTGATCATTCTTGGGCTAAATTCCACCCTACACCTCAGTTCAGGAGCTCTCCTCTCCCAAGACTTATACAAAAAAAAAGTGTAAATAACCCATTGTACAAAGTGACAGAACACCAGCATAAACCTCAAGGAAACCAGTACAAGTTAGTGGGCTGCTTTTCTCATCAATATGTGTTACTTTTCTTTTCCAGCACAGCATTTCTAACGAACCAGCACCCCCCCCCCCCCCCCAACAAAGCAGCACCCTGTACCCCATGTTCCAATACCAAGAGAACAAGCAGCGAGTTCTTGTCCTGAGTCAACTGAGTGTCAGAATTAACTTAATGTTTTCAGACCAACCCCACAGTCCCGAGTTTGACATCTCACTATACCATTCCGGACCCGCCGGAGTTGAATCCGGGGTCGGTTTCCCGGTAAAAGCTGAGGTAAACTTACTTTTCCCTGGCTTGGCTGTCAGAAGGTACAGTGTTACTCTTGCCTTTGGCGTACATGCTTGAAGAGCTGGATTGTCACGCACCTGTCAAGCCATCAGGTCCCGGGAACAACCCCGTCACCATAGCGACAAAACGATGGCCCTGTGCGATTGGCTGGCTCCGGGGCCGAGACCGCCCCTTCGCCATGGTAACCGGCTGATGGACAGGCCCGATTGGCCGGGCGAGCGGCTGCTTCTCTTTGGGGGAGTTTGAAACCGTTGAAGTTCGGATTTTTTTGAAAAAAAGGCCCGGCTGTTCTGGTGAAAGGCTCCAACTCCCCTGTAAAGGTGCAACAGAAAACCTGGACTGGATTATCAACCCAAAAGAAAATGCACCGGCATTGAGTTGTTTAAATGAAATGCAATGACTATGTCTATATATGTATATTTCAAATGTTACAATGATTATTCTGAAATGTCTCACTTCTCAATGTTAACATTTACAGATCATGAAGATTAGCTCAAATAGCACAATTTGATGTATTCTTTTGTCAGTTACCCAGATCAATTTTTTTTCACTGACACTGAACCTTCAGGAGTTCTGTGACACTGTCCGGACTAAAAGACTCTTCCACTGTTTAGGGGTTGGAAAGAAAAAGAAGCAAAAGTATGCCATTTGAAGGAATTAGTATTATTATCTATACTCGCATCTAGTTTCTAAACTTTTCATACATCATTGTTTAAAAATGTTCACAAAATTTGTATACGTTGCGGAGTAGTTAAGACATCAGATAGCTTTGTCTGGCTTTTCTTCGTTTACTTTTTGGAAGATTCATAGTTTACTCAACATCACATTCTCCTCAGGAAAAGGAGGATAGAATTCTCTTAGAAATAATATGCTCTATCACCACTCCATGATGAGGACTCAAGAGATACCATTCAAGAAGGGATAGTTACAATAGTTCTGAAAAGGGTCTAGGCCCGAAACGTCAGCCTTCCTGCTCCTCTGATGCTGCTTGGCCTGCTGTGTTCATCCAGCTCTACACCTTGTTATCTCATAGTTACAATTTGTTAGTTTTGTTGTTCTTTTCACTTAGTAACTTAATTGAAAGCTTATCAAATGCACCTAACAAGAGTTAAACAACTCTGAGGATTATCCTATCAGCTGCATTGTGATAATCAAAAGGCAGAAAATTGACAAATAAAATGCCACAAATGCCTTTTTGTACTTTATTTTACTATTCTATATTTTCCTGATGCCTTATCTCCAAATATGCCCATGCAAGATATGAATTAGGAACAGGAGTAGGCCATTCTGCACAGCAACCCTACGCCTGTTGCACCATTCAAAAAGATCACGGATGATCTGACTTATGTCTTCAACTCCACATTTCTACTTACCACTGATTAACTTTGATTCTCTTGTTAGGTAAGAATCTATCTACCTCTGCCTTGAAAGTATTCAGTGACAGTATCTCCACCATTCTCAAGAAAGAGAGTTCTGAAGAATCGTGACTCTCTGAGAAAAAAAATTCTCTTCATTTCCATCTTAAATGGGAGACTATTTATTTTTAAACTGGTCCACCCTACATGCAAGAAGTGAATCAAATTTTTAGCATCCACTGTTTCAAATTTCCTTAGGATCTTACATCATTTTGATATTTTTCCCGATGTCTGTATCTTGTTTACATGTTTTCTTTAAGTCAGAGCTAATTTTTATTCTGCTATTAACACCAATGATGGACCAATGCTTTGTCTTCTTTTCTCGCTACAACTCTTCCCTTTGCCTTTTGTTCCATTACATCTTTCATTTCTAATCTCCTTCACCCTCTGAACTTTCCCCATCCTTCCACTCACTGCGCCCAATGTTTCCAGAGCATAAGACCAATCACATTTCCACCTCCCTTCAGTTTTGAAGAGAGTTCTATTAGACTGGAACTGATAACTCTATTTCTCTGCGCAGGTGCGGTCAGACCTGTTGAGTTTCTCCAACTCTTCCTGTTTTTAATTCCCTCAGACCATTTTAATACTATTATATCTCATTCTTCTAAGCTTTAAAGGATACAGGTCCAGCCTGTCTAACCTGTCTTCATAAGACCTCCTCCAGCCCAAGTATCAGTTGTGTCCAGGTCTTGGAAATGGTTAGCCAGCCACTCGGGGTAGAGAAAATCAAAGTGATCTCCACCTAAGGGGTTAGGAAATTAATGTTGAGCAGCCCATCATCCATCTTGACTTCTTCTGTCTTATTGGGAGTTGCTTTCTTTCTGGAATGAGAGAGAGAAAGGTGTTAAGGCAACCTAAAATGGTGGCACATCTGTTACAATTAGTGCAGGTAGGAAAGTGTCTTGGGCAAGTGAGTAGGCAGTGTAGAAAGCATGTATGGTTTACAGTGTCAGTGGTTGCGCCGCATGAGATCAAGTGAGAAAAGATGTTGCAGGAAATAGTGAGAGTGGTAGTGCATGACTCCTCATAGGAGGTGGGTACAGTTGTAGAGATAGAGAGTAACACTTAGTTGACTGAGTGGAGGCTGGGTGGAGGAGGTCATTGACAATTTTCCTACAATGCTAGGCTTTCCCCCATTTGGCTGAAACTCCTTCAGCATGCATGGAGGCCTCAGACTCCTGGACAGGTGGACAGTTTGTGTCTGAAAATACAAAGGCAGAAGTGTCCAGATTGCAAGAGAGCCAGGGTTTCATTCTCTTTCTCTCTCTCTCTGCAGTAAAGTAACCAAACACTGAAAGACTTTCCAAAGAACTGAAAGGATCTGGAGATATGGAGATCAGAGAACAGAAGATCTTGGAAGAAGCAAAAGTGGCACCACATTAGCCCTGTAGTCACTGCAATTGAACTGTGTCTCCACTATTTTACTCTCAACCCACAACATCCATGTTTGTTTGTTTTTCTATGCCTGTCTGTATGAGTATATGGGGGTTGGGGTGGTTTAAGAGGAGGTTATAGTTTCATCTAGCAAAGTTATTTAGAGATCATTCATATTTTTAGTTGTCTGTGGTTAGAATTGATTTTATTTAATAAATAATTGTTCATGTTTAGTACGGAAACTGGTCAGTGTTTTCTATTAACGTGAGCCTATCAGACAGGTAAATTGGCCATTTTGAAAAAGTGGGTCATGATGCAAGACTTCCCTATTTTTGTGTTACATTTCCTTTGATATAAATGTATCTCCTCTATTACCTGATGAACCTGTATGCTCATTGTTTTTGTGCATGGGGACTCTCAAATTCCTCTGTGCTGCAGCTTTTGAAGCCTTTCTCCATTTAAATAATATTCAGTTCCTTTATTCTTCTTGCCAAAGGGCACAGCCCCATATTTTCCTACATCATATTCCAACTGCCAAGTTTTTGCCCAGTCACTTACCCTGTCTATAAACTCCTTGAGTCATCCTCACTTCTTACCTTCCCATCTAATTTTGTGTCAGCTGCTAACTTGGCTATAGTACTTTCACTTTCATCATCCAAGCCATTAATATATATTATAAGTTATTGTGGTACCAGCACTGATCCTTGTGACACTCCACCAGTTACACGTTTCCATTCTGAAAATTCCTCCCTTATCCCAATTCCCTATCTTCTATTAGTCAGCCAATTCTCTATCCATGCAAATATACTACCTTCAAATTGAGTACTTATCTTGCTAAGTAGCCTTATATGTGGCATCTTATCAAGTGCCATTTGGAAGTCCAACATATCACATCTACTGGTTCCCTTTTATCTATCATGCTTATTACTGCTTCAAAGAATTCTGATAGATTTGTCAGGCATGACTTCTCCTTCATGAAGCGAAGTGGATCTGCTTGATTAGATCACGTATTTCCAAATGTTCAGCGATTACATTCTTTATAGTGGATGCTAACAGTTTCCCAATAACAGATGTTAAGCTAACTGACTTATGGTGCCTGTTTGTGGATCCTTCCCTTTTAGAATAAAGTTGTCACATTGGCAGTTTTCCAATCCTCCAGCACATCTCCAGAACAAAGAATTCTTGGAAATATTACTAACAGTGCATCCGCTATTTCTGCAGCTGTGTATTTTAGTATCCTAGTATTCAGCCCTTCATGTCCACAGGACCCATTAGTTTTTCTCTGGTGTTAACAAGTTTATATATTTCCTCCCTCCCATCTACCACCACCTTGATTATTTCGTATTTTCAAACTATTGGTTATTATTGTCTTCAACTCATCTATTACTTCTTGGTTTTCCTATTTTTTTTCTCCCAGCCTCATTTTCTAAAGGGCCTAAGTTCACTCCGGTTTCTCTCTCTTCCTTTTGAAATATTTAGAGAAGCTCTTACTACCTCATTACATCTATGTTTATCTTCCATGCAACCAACAGTTCTAATTCCATGTACTTGCCCTGTTCTCATTTGCCTTTATCCTTAAACCACCTTTCTATCCTAACCTTAAATGTTAACAGTCTCTACTTCAATCACTAATTCCATTCAAGCATTTCATGGTCTCAAAATAATCGGTGTAAATACATTAATCCTGCTCTTTGTTCCAAACTTTGATTTAAGCTTTGCAAGGTCCAATAAAAACAGACTTCAATAACCAGTTAATCTTTTCTTAATGGTGTTAGTTCGGGAAGAAATTTGGCATTGATATCTGCAAATTTTGAAAACTTTTACATTTACTTGATTAGGAAACTTGGTTTCAATTTTAGTTGCAGCTACGTCTCAGTTGTTGGAACCCATACTTTAGAATGAAAAGATTGTGCGTTCAAGTGCCACTCAACACCTCAGCACAAAAATTAAGGTTGACGCTTCTGTCACCATTTCAAAGTATTAAAATTATACCAGTGGCCTGGCCAATGCTTTGTCAATATCATAAAAAGAGATTATCTCGTTATTATGATATTGCTGTTTACAATATCTTGCTGTGCGCAGAGTGACTGTCACATCCTAGTTAAAACAGCCAAAGCAATTCATTGTCTGCAAATTGCTCCGAGAGGTCTCCCATTCCATTTTTGATAATGCCATATTCCCTCATAACTGTAAGAACTATCAGGTTAGACTCAAGTCCCAGACTTTTTTCATCAGTCTACCCTGTCCTGTATCACGGATAAACATAGAAATTAATGGTTAGAGATAAACTGGTCAACCAGGCTTTATGAAAGGATACAAAAACAGAAGTTGCTAGAAAAGCTCAGCAGGTCTGGCCACATCTGTGAAGAGAAATCAGAGTTAACATTTCGGGTCTGGTGACCCTTCCTCAGAACTTGACCCGAAACGTTAATTCTGATTTCTCTTCACAGATGCTGCCAGACCTGCTG